AGGTTGGAGAACTACAGAAGAACAATTGTAAGAAGAAACAATGGCAACAACGAGAACATTGAAGATGCATACCAAACACTTGACACCAAGCAACAAAAGAGAATCCTTGAAGGAGAACCTTGGACAGGAGAAACAAGGTTCAAGGCCAAGAGAGAAACACCTCTACCTGGCAATGCACCACCAATGCCAGCATTACCAGCAACCAGGACGACAGTCCAACAGGAGGGATGAGATACACAGCAAAGCAGCCACCGTCTGATCCAACAAGAGCAACTGGATCAACTTCAGTGCCACATCCAATGTCAGCACCACCAACAACTGACTATTGGATCAGAGAAGGATATTTGTGGAAGAGAGTACATGTCAAGCCAAGACATGACCTCTACATTCCACAACAAACAGACGATGGCCCAGATGTCACCAAGCTCACAACAGAACGAACAAGGATGGTGAGACCAACAGATGGAGCAAGATGGTACAGGATAGATGATAACTGGACCGCAAAGAGACAAGCAACACTTGACCAAGAGTGGACAGGATCAACAGACTTTGAGGAGACAACTACATACAAAGATGGATACATCACAGATGATGTTGAGGAGCAACAAGAGGCAAGAAAGGCAAAAGGCCTTCCAGCACCACAACAACCAACAGCACAAGACAGGCTCGAACACGAGCTCACACACTTACCATACAGGAGCTGGTGCCCTGTATGTGTACAAGCAAAGGGTAGGTCAAACAACCACCTGAAGCAACAAAACAAAACACCGGTGATTCAATGCGACATCACCTACTACAAAGCAATTGGCGAGCAAGCAACCTCATCAATTTTCACAGCCATCGATGTCGAAACAGGTATGTGCATGGCAGCACAGATAGAAGAAAAACACAAAGCATGCAATACCTGTCAACATGCTTTCAACAATTCCTTATGGAACGTGGCAGAACACATGCAGTGCTCAACAACACTGTCATACAGTCAGACAATGAGGATTTCCTCATAGCACTGTTGAAAGCAACAGCCACAGCAACGGGAAGCAACATAGCAGTACAACAACCACCAGCATACACCTCACAAGCACAAGGCAGCGTGGAATGTTTCCATCGAACATTGATGGGACAACTGAGAGCACTCGAGCTACAGCTTGAAAACAACTACAACACACGACTCACAAGCAAACATCCCATCATGCCATGGATGGAGCCTACCTGCTGAACAGGTATGCAATGCATGCAGATGGCAACACCAGCTACTACAGACGCTGGAACAAGGAACATAAGACACCAATTTGTGAATTTGGTGAAACAATTCTATACATGCTGCCAACAGCAAAACAAATGCCAAAGATGGAAGCCAGATTCTTTCCAGCAATTTGTCTTGGCAAAGACACCTCAACAAATGAGAACATCTTGGGCATCACCAACAAAGTGGTCAGATCAAGAACCATCAGAAGACAGGTCGAACCTGAGAAGTATAACAGGCAACTTCTGGATGTCATCAACAACACACCGATGACAACTCCAACGCATCAAGCTTTGTCATGTTACCGACAGCAAAGATGATGGCAAGACCACAGACGACAACAGAGACACAAACACCTCTTCAACAGGAAGAACCATTTCCCACGACGGCAGCACAATCACCAACACATACAAGCCAGCCACCGGCCATCACAGACCTGCCAAAGGCAACAGCACCACCAACACAAAGAGCAAGACCAACCTTGCCAGTGCCAGCACCAAAAAGAGACGTGGCAGATGAAGTAGCAGAAGGAAGTGCGTCCAAGCAACAAAAGGACGGCAACAAGACAGACAGCACCAACGAGACCAGAAACAACGGCTGAACCACCAGCAACAAGGACAAGGATCACAGCAGCGACCGTGAAGACCAAGAAAGGACAAGAGATCAAAGCTCTGTCAAATGAAGATGAGCAAGAAGCAACAACAGAGAAGATCCTACTGGAACCATGGGCCAAGAACACCGAAGGACTGAACAAAGAGCAAACAATTGAAGGAATGAAACAAGAGATAAGGTCAATGAAGGCACAACAAGTGTATACAGAAGTTTCCTTCAGCAACCTGATAAAAGCTCAACAAAGCAAAGTGATCAAGTCAAGATGGGTCCTACGACAAAAGGGCAACAGTGTCAGAGCAAGAATAGTGGTAAAGGATACACAGAAGAAGTCAACGACAAGGACGACATATATGCGTCAACACCAATATTCTGTGTCCTACGCTTACTATAAACACTGGCACTCACCTTCAACTGGATCGTCAGAACAGGCGATATCTCAACAGCATTCCTACATGCCAGAGCTGCAACAGAAGATTTGTTCATGTTTCCACCAACAGGGTTCTACGACCCTGAGGACCACATAGTGTGTAAGCTCAGCAAAGCAATCTACGGGTTGAGAAGCAGCCCAAAACCTTGGCAAAATCACCTGGCAGAAACACTTCAACAACTTGGGGTGCAACGGCTAACAAGCGAACCCAACGTCTTCAAGACAGCAACAGGCAACGCCTTCATCCTCGTTTATGTGGATGATCTCCTATTCTTGGGACAACCAACAGTTGTCAACAAGCTCTTTGCAGACATACAGCAACAACTTTTACTGCGACCAACAGGTGACCTCACAGTAGGAAACAATGTCAACTTTCTTGGAAGAAGCATCTCCAACAAGGGAAATTACTACGAGATCAGCCTGGCAACCACATACACAACAGAACTATTGAAGGAAGCAGACATGCTCAACCGCAATGCATCACCAGCACCTGGAACAAAGGCAACATCGACAGATGTTGAACAACCACTTACAACGGAAGAGCACAAAGCATACAGAAGAGCTGTGGGCAAGCTACAGTGGATGACATACACACGACCAGACATCAGCTATGCAACCAAGGAACTAGCAAGATCCTTGACACAGCCAACAACACTTGATCAGCAGAAGCTCAAGCATTTGCTCAGGTACATCAAAGGAACACAACACTACAGGTTCTATGTGCGACCAGCAGTCCGAACCATGGACACAACACCAGACCTCGACGTCTTCGTGGACTCCGATTGGGCAGGATGCGCCACAACCAGGAAGTCAACATCGGGTTTCGTCATCAAGTTCATGGGATCAACAATCCACTTCGGCAGCCGAACACAAGCAACAATTGCACTCAGCAGTGCAGAAGCAGAGCTATACGCCATCAACACAGGAGCAACAGAATCACTTCACATCAGAAACATACTACAAGAAGCACTCAACGTCAAGAAGGTGAACATTAGGATCCACACAGACTCTTCGAGCGGGAAGAGCATGGCAACAAGGATTGGATCCTCAAAGAAAGCAAAGCACATCGAACTCAAACAGCTTTTCATTCAACAGCTGGTGCCACACGATCTTGTGAGGATTATCAAGATCAACACAGCGAACAACACCGCGGACATCTTCACCAAGTACGTGGCCACAGAGACGCTCTTGAGGCATCTCAACGATGCTGGGCTCACAACCCAGCATTGCTAGCAACAGCAGCAACCAACAACAGTTTCGCTGCAGCTAGCGTGTGAACGTGCGAACGCGTGTACACCGTGCGAATAACGTGCGCAGCAAACACACACAGACATACATGCCATAGCCATGGTGCTGACAATGGTCAGCAACATCGACAAAAACATCAATATATTCGTACTACATCTTTGTGTATTTCAACATCATCTTTTTATCAATATACCTCTACAACATGAACGGTACCAACATGATTGTGGACGTGTATGAAAACATGACTGTCTTAGACAACATGTTTTGTGGAAGTTTTGAATTCAACAGTTTCGGCTTTGCATCTGTCAACATTTTGTTGACACAGTTTGAAGCTTGAATTTCGCTGCGGAGAGCCAATATTTGTGAGCACAGTGGAAACATTGGATGCCATCAACAATCTCGATCAGGAGATATTCAACGAAGCTGTGAAAGAGCATGGTCGGATGATATTGTGGATTGTCACAACAGTAGAGGAGTACAACAACCTGACCAACAACGGCGAGAACCCAACTCTCGTGGCTTCGGCAGGCAACCAACGCCTGCCATACTAGGACGAATTACTGCTGCACACAACACCTGCAGCTGCCATGTGCCACATGGCGTATCATTTCTCTGACCCACATCTGGCAACAGGAGACTACAACAGATTAATGCTATTTGGCTTCATCGTTAATACCAACCAACTGGTGGAACGCGTGGCCAACAATACGGTCAACGTTTTCAACAGAGGATGGACCAACCAACAGATCCAAGCGGAAGCCAACAGTGCTTTGGTTCTCACCAAGAGCGAACAGAAGCAACGACAACAGTGGTTCAAGGTATCATTCAAAGATGGTATCAACAGCTTGTTTCAAAACATCAGCTGGACAAAAGGGTGGCTATGGTCATTCAACGCGCCCTTCAAACTGAACAGCCTGAATTTCAGCAACAAGAATTTTGGTAAGTGGGTCGAAGACAACAGTGGCTTCAACACCTACCTGGCTGAGATCAACAAGTACCGGAAAAGCATCAACACGGAGGATATCAACATGGATGATGAAGATGCAGTCAACACCACTGGCTGAGACAATCCATGGAATAGGTGAGACTGACACCTAGACCAACAGTCGAGGGTGGAGCTCAGACAACACCCTGGTGCCAACAGGTACCAAACCAAGAGAGCAGATGAGAGCAACATGGAAGTCAACATCTGATAGCCCAAGACAGCCTTAATTCAACAGGAAAGATTTGCAGTCACCAACATCTGCGGTTGACGACAGATGTAAAACTACATGCCATCAGTTTGTACAGAGGTGATTTGCAACATCTATGCCTATGCAACAAGTCTTATAACAACTTAATGTAGTTCAGTTCAACATGTGAATAGTACATTCGTATCAGCATGATGAACATAAAGTTCAACAAGCTGAGGGGCCGTGTCAAGTACAACACACCCTTGCGTGTACACTAGTTTTGCAACTGTACATTTGGTCATGCCAACATGACATTCTGGTTCAACAGGCCTTGAGCCTGCCTGGAGTGACAACAGGTCCGAGCCCAACAGACAAAAGGCGCGCACTGCACAGCAGAGACAACAGGCTGCCTTGAATCTTTTCAGATAATATATATATATACACATACATACATACGTATATATATATACGTATGTATGGGGGTTCAAGCCGTGTACCCCAAGAAAGAGCATTCCCACCAGCGCATTGCTAAGCCGCATGGACAGGCCCCTTTCACCCGCAAGTCGAGCTAATCGGGCCTGGCATGTTGAGGCTGCTAATGGTACAGTACATTGGTACATCCTGGTCATGTTCTAGTTGATCTTTGATGATACTTGAATATGTGAGATATTGTGAGATCGAGATTTGCAATTGTTAAAAGACACTGGATACATGATCAATCCACTGAGAGGAAACAAACCATGACACCGCAACAGATGATGTTTTAATCCCTCCTCCCAGGTTACGGGGCGGGATTCTATTGCTATAGAATACGGCTGCGAAGGACACCCGTCCCCCTATGGCGCGGAATGGAGCACCCAGAAAATCCCCATGGTCATCGTTTTTGTCATGAAAGTTGCAATTTCATGGGCCAAAGATGAATGTTTTCTCCGCTTGCCATCGATGTCCCATATGTCCAATTCCGCGGAAAGTGACCAGAGGCAACTTTCGAATGACACCAGCGAAGGGCTGGCTTTCAACCCCCATTGTGGCAATCGGTCAAACTATTGAATTCGTCATAGGAAGTCCATCCTGGTGCGGTTCTGTTAACTATCCATTTTGTGGCATCTAAAATGAGGCCAAAATCACGTGTTTTTCAAGGAATCTACGGGACTAAGCGTGCTTTCATAATCCCTTACTAACAAGGTCCCTCCAAATTTCCATGGGATACAAAAGGATTAGATATACATACCCTGTCACACATGCCAACACTCCACAGGGAACTTATGGCACAGATTGGCTATCCCTTGCATGAAATGCTGTCTTTTCTCACTCTCGAGGGACGCAAATGTTGAAAAATGTTGCAAGTGTCCTCCCAACCCTCATGATGCCACAATTCACCTGATGTATCCTGGTCTAAAAGTCAAGTTTCACAAGATTTCTCTGGGGTCAACCATTCCAGTAACAGGAACCCATCATCACTGGTATTTCGAAACTCGGCCCCATGTGACCTCAAATTATGGCCCCTGTTTGATTCGGGAATGTATGTGTGTATATTATATATATATATACCCAAATTTTACCAAAAAAAAAGATGGGGGTCCGGTTATATATATATATACATATATATATATATACATATATATATATACATATATACATACATATATATATATATATATACGTAGATGTGTTGTATGATGTATCCCCAATTTTTATGGCCCTTTTCTGAAGGGGCTGGATGATGAAAGGGGACAACCCAGCTCCACCGCTCCTCCAATTGCCACATCTCTTCCTCGGATCGCATGACCTTCGGCAACTGGGCGGCACCCCCCAGGGTGGTTTTCCACTCCAAAACAAACTAGGGATTGTAGCAGTTTCACCAACAACAATGGAGGTTTAATGGTGTTTATAGAACCAACCAAAATGGTGATTTAAAGGGGATTTAAGCAACAAAAATGGGAAATTCATATGATTTAACCAACAACAATGGGGGTTTAATGGGGATATGAATGGAAGATGAATGGAATTTCGTATTTTCCACTGCTCCAAGACGTGGAAAACCCATGGGGAAACCTCGCGCAAAGATCTATATGAATGGTGTTTTCTGGAAACGGCTACAGGAGGGTAGAGAAAAATAGGCAGAAACATGTCTGGTAAAGTTGGGGATGGTGCATGGGCTTGAGTTTGCTTAACCTTACTGGGTCAATCAATTTAACTCATGGTTGAATGAAAGTGCTTTGCGCCCAGGAATCATAACCTCCTAGTTGAAACCACTAGTCAAGTATTGGTTAACATAGTGCTGACTCATCTTGTTCAATCTTTTCTCGGCCTGCAGTGATTGACTTTCGAAGGCTTCAAAAAGTTCAACACGGTTTTTGTCATCCAAAAATGAGGTGAGTTCATAGTGAGTTCCATGCACTTGGAACCTAGAAAGAAGCCAGAAGCCTTGGAATCCACTGACTGAGTTGGCATGCCTTGAATATCATTGAATCAAAGTGAGATTTCTTTGGTCACATGAGGATCAACGTCCCAAAAACACGGGGGCAGGGATAGTTTCAAAATCATAAAATTTACATCATTACATGTTTATACATAAAATTGAAACCACCCCCCAAACGAGCCTATCTGTATTTTGCGGCAAACAGTGAACAGTATATCATCATCTGCCAGGAGCATCCACCGATCGCAAGCGGTTTTCCTATGTAAGATGATGTAAGCAATTTCTACATGAATCAGTCGTCTCCCTTTGAGAGGCTTCCCTCATTGATGATCGGCTATGGGGGTCATCAAAAGGCGACTTCCCTCATCACCGGATCAGCGGATTCTGCAACTGTCAGGGTCTCCAGGAATGGCTTATTTCGCATGTTATAGCCAGCCTAACATGCCATCATCCACGACACCAACAGATTTCTAAACAGTGCCGGCAACAGACAGATTTCTCGGATGAACGGAGACCATGCCATCATGGGATACCCAGATCCCGCCATGGCCACGACACCTTTTCTTCTGCCTGGACCCGTTTCCAAGCCTCAGCAAGACTGACATTTGACATCGCCAGTCTTTTTGTGTCTTTGCTGCGTTGATGAGCAGCCCATATTTCTGCTTGAATCCTCATGTCGCACAAATTGACCTTTCGACATCTTTCGACTCCTATGATTGCTGGGGCAAACCCACCGTAAGTTGTGTTTCAAAGTTTACTTCAACTCACTTACCGTTTTTTGGAGAAAATGCCACCATCTTTGGAATCGGACATTACATCCAAGCTCCCTGTTTTTCCATTTCTGAAAAACCATTTCTTTCCTGGAAATAATTCTGGAGAAAATTCTCCATGTTTTTCCCTGGAAAACTCTGAAAAAAGCCACCAGTTCTTGCTGTTTTTTACGGGCCTTGGCGTCCCTACCACGAAGAAGACCTGCTGCTGCTTTAAGGCACCTTTCATCAGCACCTACGACCGAAGTCGACCCGGGGTTCACTCCGGGTCTGCCAAAAAACTACAATCATTTTAAGGTGATGTCATGGTGATTTCATGGGATTTAATATTTTATATATATATATATGTATATGTATATGTATATATATATGTTTCATTATATATACTATATATATATAAATATGTGTGTGTGTTTCATGGTGATTTCATGGTGAAAATCCATAAACGCGCGATGTATGATTGTTATGATGAAACCAATGGGGCAAATGAGTGAGTTTTTAGGTAAAACACTGCTGGGTGATCTCTTCAGAGCGGGGTCAATCTGGAGAACGATGCACTGTGGAAATGCGTTATTTGAATATGACCAGTGCATCAAACCAATATGTTAGGTTTAGTAACTTTAGTATGCTCAATATGAAAGTTTATCAAGCCAGCATTCTTGGGAAGCAAAATGATTCTCACCATGTTCATATCAAATATGTGGGTTGGTTGAAGGGAACATCTAAAGGAAACAAAGATTTTAGCGGCCAAATTTGGGGGTTCCGGCAGTTGCCTTTAAGCCAGATTTGCAAATCTGAAACTTAGGGATTGAATGATTTCGACCACGTTCACTTGGAGTTGTGATGGGCAACTGTTCCAGCCGCAGAAGCTTTTCCAAAGCTGCATGGCAGAAATAGATAGAAATAGCTGCCCCCCCAAGGGTCTGTGATTATCATCCCCAGAAAAAAAAATTGTTTGGCTTGTAATCCACTTGGCGCCACAGTACCCTCACTCCAACTTCCCCCGCCCTGTCCCACCACATCTGCCAGCTCCAAATGCTTCTGGTGCGAAAGGCGGTGGCGCCACTGGGGCTTTTGATTGCCTTGGACAGCGGGGTGTTTGGATAAAGCTATGGATAGCTAGTTCAAAGAGATAATTGCCGTCTTTGAAAATGGTGATTGTCCATAGAAGAAATGACCCGAGAGTAACAAAGATTGAACTTCACACAACTGAAACTTGATTCCCTGCATTTCCAATTCCCACTGCTAGGAATCAAGTTTCAGTTGTGTGAAATTCAATCTTTGTTACTCTCGGGTAATTTCTTCTATGGACAATCACCATTTTCAAAGACGGCAGGCAGATTTGAGGATTGAACCTACCAAAAATGCGGAAGTTCACGAACTGAACCGTGGTTCCAAGGTTCCAAGATCAGCCACGAAATTGGGGACGCTCCTTGACTTACAATGAGATGGAATTTCCCAACTTCCCAACGAGAGTCCATCCGTTCTGATAGCGGTCTTTTCGCGGTGACTCCAGGAATTTGAAGGATCAACAGCCACCCTCACCTGGGTCCCCCAAACACCAAAGGAAGAAGGCCTCGACACACGTTGCGAAGAATGCGAAGAGTGTAGAGTGTGTAAGACATGGTCGCTATACACCAGTTCCACAGGCTAAAGACCTACCTCTGCAAGTTTCTAGTTTCGCATCACCCACTCTTGCATCAATTGTGGACCGCATGTACTCCCAAGCATTGTGATAATCCCCAATGTAAAAAGGCTAGATAGTATAACATACCATTTGATAATTTAACATAGCCATGGAAAATCACCATTGTTAATGGGTGAACTATCTATAAATGGACCATCTATGAATCTATACCATGGCTATGTTAGTCATAACCAGAGGGTAGTTTTTGAGTGGTAAAAAAAACCTGTAGAAACCCCCTTAAACTCATCATCAACCAATAGCAAACAGTCAACAGTGGTACCCACCTGGAAAGTCCCATGCTGGATGGACCTCTTCCAAGTACCTCATCTTCTGGTGTTGGATCATCTGCACAACCTGCAGCTGATGTCTGAAAAAAATATGTCTCTGGTGATGTCTAAATGACAAAACTGAACTCAAGATGGAAGGTAGAAAGTGAAGACTTCCCAGTCACATGGATTCCAAAATCATCTGAGACTTATCGTGGAATCTTATGTTGTTACTAATATGGACCCTTCCCATTCGTAGAAGAGCTTCTGAAGGAAAAAAAAATATGGTATTTTCCAACTTGTTAAAGAGTGTTGGCTAGAACAACCCTTTACCTCGTTCCTAAAAAATTGAAGAACTCGAAATGTTATTCCATGAAATATTGGCTTGTTCCCCATACATGACTGGCATACTATAACTATAATAAAAGTTATCATGAACTATTTCCCAACTTGCTGCGTATTAACCTAGTAATTCTAGTTAAGTGGGGGAAAATCCCAAAAAACTGATGTCGTCATAGTTTCCGCATACTTAATCATAATCATATGTTGCCCAGGATATTATTAATCATGGTTATAGAGATATTCTATTCCCCATTACATTTATGGTAATTCTAACCATGTTATACATATACTTAACTATCACTGGGGAAATTATCTTAAACCAACAACAAATTCCAACACTGCGGCAAACCCAACAAAAAAAAGACTGTTCCAACAATAGAGGTCAATGGTTTATGAAATAGAGATGAAAATCCTCCCACACCTCTATAGTTCCAACAAAACCTTCAATAGAGTTTATGAAATTGGCTATACCCCTATGACTGGGATGTCTATCATGATCGCTATGGTTGGTCTATGGATGATTTCGGGTTTACCACACGAGTGGAAACAGAAACAAGGGCATCGCCATTTGCAAGGTACCACAAGGTGGTGCCCCCCAGTTATAAGTTTGTTTATAACCCCCATTACCCAAGTTATTGGAGTTATTTGCACCAACTTAGCTAACGAACTGGGGAACCACCTTGCCGTTACCAATAAACAATATATAATTAATCGTCTATTGGTGGGTAAAACCAATCATGCAATCGTCAACCGATTTCATCTTAATCAATTAATCAACCAACAAAGAATTTCCAACATCTTCCATCATCTTAGTATTTGAAGTTCCCCATGATTAGCCTCCTGTAAAGTAACATGGATGTGGAAAATCCGCCCTTTGTAGATTGTAGACTACTTTCCTATGGAAACCATTGGTTTTCCACATCTTTCTCTATGATAGGGTAATAGCTATCTTCAGGTTTGTGAATTAAAACAAATCAGCCAGATTTCTACTTGACCATAAGATATGGTAAATTACCCATGATTTTTGACCCATATACCCTCTGGTAAATTAACATAGCAATGGAAAATCACAACGTTTAATAGGTAAATCAATTATAAATGGCTATTTCCAATAGCTACGTTAAATTACCAGAGGGTGTGTGTGTGTGTGGATATATCCTAATATAATATATTAATATATATATACTAATATAATATATTAATATATATATATAATCATATATATAATCATATATATAATCATATATCTAATCATATATATATATGTAATCATATATATATACATACATATATATATATATATAATCATATAATATATTTATATATATATATATATTACCCTATAATTTTATGATATTTTTTACTAGTCAGAGGCCAGGATTGTGGATTTTAATTGTTTCGTGTTTTTTTTCGTGTTTTTTTTGTGTTCCGTTTTCGTGATTTTTTCTTGTTTTTTTCGCTGCTGTTTTTCCTCTTCTTTTTCACTATTTGTGGATGTTGTTTTTTGTTTTGCCTTTTGTTTTCTTCTGGTTGCCATGCCTTGTCTGATGTGTTGCCACACTTCTCCAACCCAGGTTTTTCACTATTACGACTAAACATGTCTGCAAAGCATTCTTGCAAGAATACAGAATACGAGACATTCGATTTCGGGTCCTCTGGTCCAAACAGGACCCCAACGCAAGAGGGGAAAAACGACCACGAAAAAAATACGAAAAAATAACACAAAAAAAATGAGAAAAAAAACTGGACCTCCTCAAGCCAGCCTTAAAAAAACAAAAATTTGGAAAATCAAGAAAAACCTCGAGTTTGTTGCGTTTTTTTGCGTTTTTCTTGCGTTTTTTTTGCGTTTTTCTTGCGTTTTTTTTGCGTTCTTTTTGCGTTCTTTTTGTGTTTTTTTTTGCGTTTTTTTTGTGTTCTTTTTGTTGTTCTTTTCTCCTCTTCCCAGGGGCCGCTGTTTCTGTGCGAGGCGTCCTTGGCGACCCAAATCTTTGATGTAATTTCCTGTGGCCCTGGGAAATTGGATTTGAGCCGCTCTATGCTTAAAAAGGGTGCAACGCAATTATTTCCTATAAGTGATCCCTATCCTGCTGGAACTAAGAGATAGTGAAGAGGCAAAAACAAAACAATTACAAACAAGAATAGCACAATGAAACAAAAACAATTACAAAACCAAACAAACTAAAGAAAAGCAACAACACACAAAACATGCAAAAAATAAACAGAAAAAAACACCAAAAAAAATGCAAAATCGAAACACCAAAAAAACACGATAAAAACACGAAACAATAGCAATTGCTCGCACATCCTCTGTGGCTCAGAAAATCTCATAACTATAATTCAACCAACCGAGGTCTCTGTTGCCCAAGAAACGGCCCAGCGACTGCAACGCTGTTGGTAGCGCTCGGTTTGCAGCCGCATCTCCTGCGCTTTTAAGGGGCGAGAAAAACCTCCCAAACAAGATGCTACAATTAGTAATTATGATTAGTAATTATGATAATTAGGATTATCCCTATATAATTAGGATTAGTAATTATATGTAATTATGACTAGCCTCCCAAACAAAACTGGTTTCGATGGTTAATAACGGATCCATTCAATGGTTTATTCGCGGTGATCCATGTTCAATTTGCTACTCATCGATCCGCTCCGCGAAAACATGGGAAATGGTGGAACAAACAGGAACAAACCATCAAATTTGGGGGTATCATTAAATTTGTGCTACACAAGCATAGTAATAAGAATGGTGATAATAAGACCAAAGAATAATATGTATATGTATATATATACATATATGTATGTGTTATATCTATACATATATGTTATATCTATATTATATGTGTATTACATGTACATTACACAAATGTTATATATATATACATTACATGTGTATTACATGTATACATGTATATATGTATATATGTATATATGTGTGTCTATGTGTGTTTGTGTATATGTGTATATGTGTATATGTGTATATGTGTAGTATGTATACATATACATCCATATATAAATGGCAGCACTACATGTAATCATGATAGTAACAAAAAATAAACCAGCAATGATGATTCCAACAATGTTGGCATAATTCAAATCTCAAACCAGCAATGGTAATGGAAAATCACCTATTTGCAGAAGGTTTTAAAAACAAACATCATTTCTATCAATGGATTGGTTTTTTAGGGATTTGTTACAGGAAAGCCCTGGTATTTAATCAATGGGAATTTCAGGATCCTAAAATGGAGGTACTGTACCATATAAGGCCATATTTTGTGGGGATATTCCCTTACATAGGCCTGAAAAATAGGCCTTATATATGGTAGGTACCTCCAATAAATCGGTTCCTAAAATGGCCATTGATTTAATGGGAAAATACCTATGGTTTCCGGTTAAGATTTTCCAACCAATCCATTGATTCTAGAGGATCTCCCAGCCATGGGCGCTTGATCCATCTCCAAAAACTTCTCCCATTGATCGTCCCTAGAAAAAACCATATAAAAAACCATCATGTTCCATGGCTTCATCCCTATACAAAGGACATAAAACCAGCATTTTCCATGGGTAAAACATGGTAAAACCACCATTTTTGCGGTTGACATAAAACCCGCTCACCTCAGTGATCTGCAAGTTCGCAGCCTCTTGCGCCAAGATACGGCGCCGCGCCGACCTCAGAGATGCTACCTGTTACGACAAAGTGGGTATGGGTCAAAAATCAAGCCATATGGGACGACAGATTCTAGATGATTTGTGGTACCCTCTGGTTATTTAACATAGCCATCGAAGCCATGGCCCATAGAGATAGATGGTTTACCGTTCTTAAAAATGGGTGGATTTTCCATGGCTATGTTAATTTACCAGATGGTATATGTTTAGTATTTACCATCTAATTAGCGGTCCAAGTTTGACCCATACCCGTATAATCATCCGGAAGTAGATAGAATATGGATGAATATGACATGTTCAAACATGTTCTCAAAATATGCCCATTCTCCAAAAAACATCATCGCTAAAATGATCCAAAATGGGAACGTGCTTGAAGATGTCATGACCTATCTACATCAGAATGATTATAAAATTATATATATATGTGTATATAGTAGCCCCAAAAATATAGAAAAGGAACTTACCCTTTGGTTATTTAACATAGCCATGGAAAATCACCATTTTTAATAGGTAAACCATCTATAAATGGGCCATTTTCCATGGCTATGTTAAATAACCAAATGGTAAATTATACTGTTATAATTACTAGGATGTTGCGCTTCTATCTGGAAATGGCTCTGGGCTCTGGGTTTTAATTTCAACGAATGGGGCACCACATTGGACATTTGATGAGGACACAACTACCACAATATGCAGCTGTAAAAGAGGACATCGGCATTTTGCGAAGTCATATGGGAACACACGCTATTTGATCATGTTCATCAGGGGAAAACATATTATCAAGGGGTACCCTAATTTTCAGAAACAACAATGTATGTCTATCTATCTATTATATATATATGTGTGTGTGTGCGTGTGTCAAAATAGAATCAAAGCCCCGATTTTCTAGTGTCAAACTAGAATCAAACCCCGAATGTGTTCACAATGAAACGAAGACATATCAGAGCCTCTTGAAGCAACGTCCTATGTTCAAGGGTTTCATCCCATGTTCCAAATCGTCAAACCAATGGAGAAAATGATGCACATTGTCACCCCATGTTCCAACCCTTGGGATTTAAGAACCTTAAGGGTGAAACTCTATAGGAAAATCCTGATTTTCCCCATCAAATTCCCGTAAACCATAAGGTTGCTCTCAACACCCCAGATACAATCCAAGGGTTAATTAAATGGATAAATACAGAGGCAAAATGAACCATGTTTCTTTAAAAATGGCTATCATTCCACCGTTTTGGTGGATTGGAGCAACCTTGAATATTCATGGTAAAACCTTAATTTTTGCTATTGAGTCCCAATGAATCCCGCTATTTATGGGGCATATTCCCGAACAATTGCCCTTTCCAACAGCCAACTCCGCACAAAGTGACGAGAGGGCAGCTTCCCGACGCCACCTGGTAAATAGTACAGCGGCACAATACATCATATACCGTATATACATGTATATACAGGGTCTATTACTATATATATATAATATTATAATTATATATATATTATTATATTATGTTATGTTATATTATATGATATTATATTTTATTATATTATAATGTTATGTTATGTTATATTATGTTATACTATATTATATCATATGTTATTATATTATATTAAGTTATATTAGCTTATGTTATATCATATTATATCATATTACATTATATTAAATTATATAAAATTATATAATATTATATTATATTATTTTATTTTATATTGTATTATAATCATATTATATCATATTATATTATATTATAATCATATTATATCATATTATATTATATTATATATATGATATATGTAAATCACCTAACCAAATTTGCCCATGGTTTCCAGTTCGCAAACTCTAACAAAGTCCAAAAGGCTGTAATCATATGCATTACATCTGATTTATATTGATTTATCCATGTATAAATGATTTTTGCTCTCAATAGGGCCGGTTTGGCAGGTTTGGCATACTATTTATTTATCATCTACTTATTGTTTGCTGAATGGGAAGAACCCTCTGATGATCAACCGACCAGTGGGAACAGGATGCCTACGGTACAGCAACCTCCCAGAGTTGTTGAAAACTTAGCTGGAAATTGTGGGTACCATGAAATCGAACGTTTACATCCTGGAAACACGTGAATCTGCTGCTTTTTTGGGGGCCCTTATCACCAAGAAAGATACTGGTAAGCTAGTATGTTGGGGTAGTATTTCATTGGTAAATTGATTGGTAAACCATGCTTTTATGTTCTTTAAATAATTGCTTAATCGTTACCCTCTTAATCTGGTTAGCTGGTACTAGTTCATAAGAATTACCCTATTCGAGTTTATATTGACGATACTAACCAATGGAAAATAGTCACAATTTGGTAAAATGATTGGAAAAATTGTAATTACCCAATTGGAAATCATAAATTTAAGATATGGTTTGGCAATATTACCACAATAGAGGTATCTACAATAAGAGTAAACTTAATAAAGAAAAGCTATATCCTCGAAATGTGTGGGGATCTTTAGTTATACTCTCTAACCAAACAAAGAAATCACCAACAGTATGAAACATGTGCGAACCAATATTGGCTGCACATGTTGTTATATAAAGGGATAGTGAACCCAGTAGTACATCAAACCGTTTGACTTTTGGAGGCTGTTGAAGGGTCTTGAATCCAGCTGCCCTCGCATGCCGTATCATAGCTCGATACAGCCACAAAAAAAAATACTTCAGACCCATAGTTGATGATATTCTCAGGTACAATAGGTCACAAACAACTTAACAATATTCCGTATTTATATAAACATTAAAAAAGTGAACAGAAACATCCACACCCCTCTAGAGTAATTACAGAAAATATACTTGAACATTGCAAGAAACACATCCAACAAGGATCAATACCACCCTAGGCCCCCAGAGTTTTCATGGTGGCCATTCCAGCAAAGTGGCAGAGGAAAACATCGTTTTACCTCGGGCGTGTGCGAGAGTTGGGACACCAAAAAAATCTGAGGAGGGCAGAAATATGTAGGATATATTTCTCAAAAATCATGGTGTATATAACCCCATAAATGCCATAAATTAGATCAGCAAAAAAGGATGGTTATCAAAAAAATGTATCCTTTGGTGATCAAAGATCCCTGGATGAATATTTGTCCGTGCCAATTACACATTTATAACCACAGTATCAATATGTATATATTAATGGTGATATAGATATATACATATTGATGAGATGGTATTTGCAATGTGTACATATCAATACATATAATTATTGATCAATATATTACCATTGTGTTTTTGCATATATACATACATATAAATATATAACCATATGTAACTATAGCACTTACACATATATGGATATCATAATATTTACATTTATTACCACATATAACCATAGTATTTACATATATAACCATATACATATATTACCATATACATATATCACCATATATCACCATATATAACCATTTATGTGAAATCTACAGAACCCCCTGGCATTAATGGTGAGAACCGCCAAGGCGCCAAGGGCCACGCCGCGCTCTTCTGCAAACCACTCAGGCTCTGTCGGAAACAAAAGGCCCTGGCGATGCGGTGCAGCTGGTGGAAATATAGAGGATGACATGATATTGATATATATATATATAATGTATGTATGTATATATATACATATAGTGTATATATATATATACATATATAGTGTGTGTATATATATATATACATATATAGTGTATATATATATATACATATACAGAGTCTATTATTCATATTCAAAATATCTATTCCAGTGAAAATA